AATTCTTGTCTCTCTCTCTCTCTCCCGTCTAGGAGGGTCCGATTCCAGCCAAATTCAGAACGGGAAGAGGATGAGGACGGCTTTCACCAGCACCCAGCTCTTGGAGCTGGAGCGAGAGTTCTCCTCCAACATGTACCTGTCGCGTCTGCGCAGGATCGAGATAGCCACCTACCTGAACCTGTCCGAGAAGCAGGTGAAGATCTGGTTCCAGAACCGGAGGGTGAAGCACAAGAAGGAAGGCAAGGGCACCCAGCGCAACCCGCACGGCGGCTGCAAGTGCAGCACGAGCCAGGGGCACTTCCCCAGGTCAGAGGACGAGGAGTCTCTGTCCCCTGCGTCGGCGACCGAGGAGAAGGAGATTTCGCTACTATAGGAGCCCGCCCGGCCGCGGCCTCTACCTGGCTGAGCGGCGCTTTCTTCATATGAATATATATATATATATGGAATGTAAATGTTTTAGTCGCGAGAGTTCAAGTAAAAAGTTATTTATGTAACCCCAGGAGCGGACACCTGCTCTTCCTAACATGTAACACGGCACTGGATTCGCGCGGCCCGGGCTTCCTCCCCTAACTCCCCTCCGGCAGTATAAAGGAAAAAAAATCATGTTTTAAACCGAAAGTCGAGGTTTTAGAAAACTGAAAAGTGAAACAAATCAACAACAACAACAACAAAAAAAACTTTTAGGATTGAGGACTTCTCCGATGGACTTCTTAAAAAAAGAGAGAGAGAGAAAGAAATGAGAAGAAGAAAAAAATGAAAATAAAGTTCGGTCGTTTGGGTTTGGGATGTCTGATATTTTGTGAATAGTTTTATATAAAATTTATATTTATATTTATTTAAATAAATGAGATCAGATGAGAATTGAATGTTTTGCTCCTTTTGCTTCTCTTTTTTTCCCCTCTAAGTTTCAGACTAGTTCGAGCCGCAAAGGTGGCCTGCCTGGGGAAGGGTGTTTTTATTTGCAATCCTTTGCACGATGGAAACGTGTCTCCGTGACAGAACTCCGTAAAGAATACAAATAAATGCCGTCAGCTACTAACCTGAATATGTTTTCCACCGCCCTACGATTTCGCTCGGATGGGAGAGAGGAAGAGGAGGGGGCCGGGGGGAGGAAGGGAGCCGCTGTCGCCCGGCGGAATGCAGATGAAGGAGCTTTTCGGAGCTCGGCTCCAGCAGCTTTGTGCTGCCCTGCAGCCGCACAGAGCGCACGGCCGCGGGCCCGGCAGCCTGAGCCCGGCTTTGGGCCCCGCGCAGCAGCCCCGGCCCGGCTAAAGCCCCGCTTCTTTATGCAGGGCTGAGCGCAGCGGTGCTAGCCAGAAAACACCGAGAACTTTGATTCTTTTGCTCAGCTTTGGGGGGGTTAATTATTATTATTATTATTTTCTCAGAGGCCGGCTTTTTCGGCGCTGGTTTGTTCTGACATTCTCGGCCAGCCCCCGAGAGCAGAGCTGCTCCGTGGGGAAGGCCGAGGAGGGCGTCCCGGCGGAGCAGCCCTGAAGGAGCCCTCTCCCTAACATTTTGTTTCCTACCTCCTGAGGTATCAGAAGGAAAAGAGCAGACCGGAATAGCCATTTATCTGCCCCTTGCGCTTTTTTTCCTCGGGCGGGTTTCACACAGAATGGTTGAGATTGGAAGTCCATCTAGTCCAACCCTCCTGCTCGAGAAGGGACACCTAGAGCACGGGGCACAGGGTCGCCCGCCTGCAGTTTTGACTTCAGCCTCTGAACTATTGCAAGGCTCCCAGGAAAAGACACCTCTAAATAATTATGACAGGACTCATGGTTGATTCCGCACCTAACCTGGGAGCTTCAGTTCAGAGGCACATCCCTATCAGAAGCCTACTCGACTTCTCAGGAGGAGCCGAGCAGCAGGGCTGCCCGCTGCTTGCTGCCTGCTCAGCTAACGTGAACGAGCACAGGGTTCATTGGGATGGCTGACAGCCCAGAAGAGTAGTCCCAGGACAGCCCTGCACTCTCAGATCAACAAGGAGAGATCGGCTGCATGGGCAGCTCTGGGTGGAATTAGAAGCCCTGCTCTGGGCTCTGACCCACTGCCTGGTGGGGTTTGGGGCAGAGCCCACATCCTGTGTAAAGCAAAGAGGAACAGAAATTTACAGCCTGGACTTGGAAAGCAAACCCAAAATGTCACTTTTCCTTCTCACAGCTACTTCACTCCTTCAACCAAGGGCCTCCATAGAAGCCAACCACACAGATGGCAGATAATGGGATGGGGATGATGCTACATCTCCATCCCTGCACTCACCAGGCCGAGAGGGTGGTGGCTGCTGCAAGATGGTCAGGTGGACTCGGGGTTGCATCAGGACCCCTGGGTCTAGCTTGCTCCTAAATTCCCACTCAGCCTTTCCCTAGGGAGAGATGGGGAGGAGGAGGTGACACTGCCCAAAGGCCTGCCCACCCACTGGACAATGTCACCCAAAGAGCTCACAAGAAGGGAGTCCACTGGCCTGCAAGGCCTTGAGGAGGCAGAGCTCATCCGAGGGAGAAATATATTAATCTAAATGCATCTAAATTATACTACACTTCACTAGACTATGCTATTATCCCATTAGCAACATTCTTTTTATTTTGAGGTGTTCCTGTTAAAAGAAATTCCACCGTTCCCTGTCTAGAAAAATGAAGCAAGGAGACCATTTGTGCCGACACATATCAGAAGACACCCAGAACTGGACCCTAGCTCTGGAGAGGCTGGGTGAATGTGGCACAGCAAGCACGTGAGAACTAACCTGTGGGAAAAGCGCAGCACGCCACAGCTAGAAAGCAAAAACAACAACAACAAAAAACTCACCCCAAAATAATAAACTTGCCACTCAGATTTAACCCCATATAGCCACCGGTATGAGGTATCTTTTGCCTGACATCTTGATGTACGGAGGGAAACAAGACAGTGCCTGCCACAAGGCAGACCTTAACCTGCAAACCTCACGGGTGCGGGAGTAACAGTGGTGGCAGCGGTGGCCTCAGCGCCATGTGACACTACTCAGATGACAACTGTTTCTTTTTATGCCTCAGAGTGATCCCGGCGTTATTTGCTGCAAGTGCAGCAAACAAGAAGCAAATGTTGCCCTCTCGTTTCCTTTCGGTGCTTGTCATGACGATGTGTGTGAGCCCGTGCGAGCACGACTGGATTTATCTTTAGCACTCTCATGGGGGCCATAATTTAGCTTCTCTTTGGAAACCGAGAACGCGGACTTAGCCGGATTAAACCCGCCACCCCAGCAGTGCCCGCTGCGTTGCGGAGCTCGACGAAGTTCCCAGTTTCATTTCCAATTTTAGTTGCGGGGGCGGAGCGGGGATGGAGGCACCGTCCCGACCCGCTCCAGCTGCGGCCGCAGCGCCCAGCGCTCCTGCCAGATGCGTCCCGGTGTCGGGTAAGGAGCAGCCCGGGGCCCGGGGGCAGCGCCGGGATGCGTGGGGCGCGCCTGCCCTCGAGCCTGCCCTTCCGTGACCTTCCCGGGTTTCGCATGAGCAAACCTGGAGCCAGCCTCCCCTCGGACCTTCCCCTTGCTTCCTGCCATTTAGCTCTACTCGTCCCAATTAAAAACGGAGGGGGAAAGCGGCCGCCTCGGGAAGCTTTGCCTGGGTGCTACCCTCATGGGATGCACAGCGCGGATCCCTGCAGCGGGGAATCCACCGCTCGAGCCCGCGGTGTTCGCGGCTCCCC